TTCCCCGTTCCCCGTTCCCCGTTCCCCGTTCCCCGTTCCCCGTTCCCCGTTCCCCGTTCCCCGTTCCCCGTTCCCCGTTCCTCATTCCCGTTACCCCTTCCCGTTACCCATTCCCATTACCCATTCCCATTACCCATTCCCGTTACCCATTCCGATTCCCCAATTCCCCGTTCCTCGTTTTAAAGATAGCCAATCCAAGCCGTAACATAACAGCTAGAATCTCCTGGCACGAATAGAGTTTCGGTGTGACATTTTATTGAAATCGCGGCGTAATGTATTAATTCATGACATCAGCTGGTGTTGAGTTTCTTTTAATGTAAGTAATGTTTGACTGAATTCTTTTTGCAGGAACATCAATTCTTAGATATCATTAAAACATTGATTCATCCTTTATTCGTATTTGTAAGAGTTTTCAACTGAAACACTACCCGAACTCTCACTTGATGTCTTTAAAAGTTCATTATCCAATCGGCGTCCTTTTAAAACTTGCCTGTGAGCGACAACTGCACTCAAGTCACGCCTCGATGCCGTTCTCCTTAAAAATTCAATCAAGCAAGTGAAACCTTAGTTTCACCTGTCAGTCACTTACACTGGGTAGAAACAAAGCACAAAGAACTTTTAACATTTCAGTGCGGGCAGACCGATCAGTCGAAAACTCACTCGGAATGCGTCTGTTTCGATTGAGATTTTATTAAATGGTAAAACAATTCGAACAAATAATCTCGCAGTAAACGAAGGCTTGATCGCAAAGTCTGACAAAACAGATTGTTTGAAAACAAAGGATTCAACAGGTTGAGCAGAAAATTTGAATTAAGTGCAGCCGATGAAGAGTGAACGTTAATCCAGTCCAATATCACTGTAAAAATAGAACGCCAGTACGAGATTCCTAATTTGAAAATATCTTACTTCCTTTCATTTCTCTTTGTCGTGTGGTATCAGTAGCACAATACATTTTCTTCGGGGGGTTTACAAAACAAAACCAGCAGGTTTTCTAATGGAGAAAACATCGAAACAATAACTAAAGACGTTAATTACCCGCTGAAAATAACAGATTGTATAACAAAGGCGACGATTTTTCACAATAACCAGAAACTGAAATTTCTGTGACTTTTTTGTGGTTAAATGGTGATTCAACGGCAGTTTCGAGCATAATTTCATTTCATTTTTACGCGTTGTTCGCGCGCAAATGATTTAAAGCTGCCACGCGCGCTCGTGTTTCGTTATGCAAATCGCGCGAGCTTTTGTTGTTAATGAAAAGTGACGTGTACAACTTTCACAAAACAGTATTGTGTCAGCTGACGAACACGCAATAATACAACCGTAGCGCCGCTTTTCTTTAACGTCAAGATTCAGAAAAACGACAGAGTCACAATTTTTTAATCTCGCGGCTGTTAGGGTAAACAGAAGTTGAAGCAATTCGAGGATGGGCTATGGACTTAACCGATTTGTCACACACGTGGATCAAAATTTACTCTGTAGTATTTGCGCCGGTGTCTTAGAAGAAGCCGTTATTACACCTTGTGGACACTCGTTCTGCGATGAATGCTTACATATCTGGCTGGACAGACCCAACACAACTTCGTGTCCCACTTGTCGTTCGGAGGTTTCGCCATTCGATGTTATTCCGGTGTTAGCCCTCAGAGGGGTAGTGGAGGGCTTGGTGGTTCACTGTGATAATGATGAACACGGATGTAAAATGGTTTTAAAACTGGAAAAACTCCGAGCGCATGTACAAGTGTGCGATTTCGGGTTGATTGAATGCGGTGCGTGTGGAAAAAGCGTGAAACGGTGCGAGCTACCAGACCACCATGAAGAATGCGAGGTAATAAAAGACTTGGTTTCACGACACAAGAAGGTAAAAGATCAAGAACTTTCTATTGATAACCTCACAAAACAGATCGCGCTGTTGGAAGTGGATTTAAATAAGACTAAAACAGCCTTAAAAGAATCCGAGGGGGACGTGCGTCGCGTGAAACGTGAATTGAGGGAATTACAATTCCAGTTGGAAGTAAGAATGGGCGAGGAACAGGAGTTCGACCCGGACTGGGATCCAGAGTACAACTACGGTTATTCTCCTTCAAGCATCGCGCAGCTCGCAAGTCTGGTGTCGCGATATTTATTGAACAAGCCTTACTACATTGATCGCAACCGCATTTTTAACGCGGTGAAACGTTGTTATGATTACTATCACGGTTATGCTGGCTATTCACAAGATGTACATATGTTACTGGCCGCGAGTTACGCTAGTAACTGGTTTACCGACAATCAAAGATCTAACTTTGATTCGTGGCTGCAAAATCTGGCGCGAGAAAGGTTTTTGATCTCCGGCTAGCCTGAATGTCAAAGTTCCAAATCATATTCGTCTCAACGATTTCAGGCGGTAAAATTTGCATTTTTCGTGACTAAAATTAAAACGAATTTCTATGTTCTAGTACGGTATTTTAGGCCAATGCATTGCTGTAATTGTACTAATATTTATTGTTAGAATTTGCGATCGCTTTAAATCCTACTCAAAGAAAATGATTAATCGTTGTCAAGCTTATATCGTTACAAATTATTCAACTAAACGATATAGCGCTGTGGTCATGGATTGTTAATAATACGAAATGAAGAGAAATTGTCCCTAAAAGCATGATGCTTTTCTGTCTCCACAATGCGAAAACAAAGGGAAATAAATGCGCGATATGTTTTGAATGAAAAGAGAATTTAATTGCAGTCCTTACAAATGAGGCAAAGGTGTTTTCCGCGTTGTCGGCCATGAAAGACTCGGCTTCTTGAAAAAACAAACAACTTTATACCCTGTGGCATCAGTCTCTTGGAAACACTCGCAAAGTACTAAAAAAACAAGAGGAAAAAAGGAAAAAAAGATAACAAATGTTTAGTCCTTTCTTCGTCATTTTTTAGCATGCCGAGAAAAATTTCCACGCAACGAGTTTTAAGAAAAAAAACTCACCCTGAATTTGTCATGGGTTTTTATACTCATAATCACAGAATTTCATCTTATCCCAAATAATTAATAATCTGAATTACAAAATACATTCGCAGCTGTAAACTTGTCAGGATTTCTAAAGATCGCGAGATAAAAAAATAATAATAATAATAATAAGCAAAAAAAAACGAAAAGAGAGTGATTAGGTAATTGTATTTAAAATACAATATGTGACAGCGCGCGTCGGTTTGATGTTCCGTCCGGTTTTCAGCGACATCGAAACCGGCTTTTAGGTCAAGCGAAATTGTTTTTAAGGTTCAAAACATTATCGAACAATAGCTTCTACAGAAACGGTCAGAAAAAACGCCGAATAACAACCTCATATTGAATATTAAAGCTCGCTGAAAAAATGTTAACTGGCTTGTGGCTACGTTAATCTCCTCGACTTCCCAACACATAATTTGGCTTTCGAACGCCAGGACAATGTGAAAAACAGTACAAAGATGTTACAGAGTGATTAAAAATTCTAATCGAGTATACTCGCGACAAAGCAGTCTTGGCAATGCTCAAACATTACAAAAATCTCTTTGTCTTGAACAATCTGGCGCTGAATTTACCGACATGTTAACAGTGTTTCATACCTCACAAAATCTTTTCTCAGGGAACCTCACCCAAAAAGGCTTGTGAAACTGTTCCTAGATTTGTTTGCTTGTCGCTCGGAAGTACAAAATCCTCTATGTCAGGTTTACAAAAGTAGCCGACAAAGAGGCGCTCTTAAAATGAACCGATATACCACCATTTTCAGTAATGAAAATCATAAAACGGAAATTAACTCATCAAATAAAGTCGTAAGACCTTATTACATGTTATTGTGACCAACGAATTTTGTAAATATTCCACTCACATGATCTCTTCCGTGAATGTACCGACAGCATTTGGTACCCAGGTTTTACAAGTGTTATAAGAACACGAGGAGAATGCTACGAATTTCGCTCTTTTGGGAACAGTTTCACCAGTGTGTCATGTTGTTAAGACCAGACTAGAGGAAAACAAGTTGAGGAGAGATGTAATTGATTTTCAACCATCGGACGTTCTTGTAAAATTGGAATCTTCCTGAATTTTCATCTCAGTCAAAGATGCTTTTCAATCTTTTGAGAATTAGATGATTATATTACAAGGTAGATGACGTTTGACGCGCTCCCCCACCCCGCAAACATTGAATTATGTCATACAGCGGAGAACATCTGGAGATAAATATAGAGACAAAGTCAGCCAATCAAAGCTCAGCAAAAGCATGCGACCGGTCCAAAGCGCGGGAAAACGTACGTCACTCAAGTCAGGTTTGGTTTCAGGGTTTGTTCTTGATTGGTCGAAAAACGAGTAGGTCTGTTGTGATTGGTTGGTGTAAGCTGACAGACCTCAACAGAGGGTCCATTATACTTTAGCGGTTTAAGCCTATTCTGAGTGCCGGTTAGCGGGTACATTCACATTTATCTGGCCGTTAAAGGTTACAAGATTATCCCGCGTTCACATGAAATTATAAATTGAGCTCGCGGTTTTCGGTTTTGCGTGTTTTTGTGGCGGTCACAATGAACGGTCAGACTGAGCGGTAACTTAATGTCCATGTTGCTTGAAGCTTCTCCCTCAACAAAAGATTGCCTTTTAGGGCTAGAAACAGTTTGTTCCATTCTCAAGATCTTGTGGTCTTTGTGAGGAGAAACACGATTATTTTAAAGCTATCATATCGCAAAGAATTTGTAACGTACTGTGAAAAGATCGGTTATGATGATAATCTTCCTACTAGTAGCGCGGTTTCGGGTTTTTAGGATAAAAAGACAATGGTCTGTGGTTTCGAAAGAACAAAATATGGCGGTTTTATACGGAATGTACGACCCCATATAATAGACCCTCTCAACAAAGTCTCAATTTCTTTAATAACTGAGCGGTGTGGAGTGCAGTGTGCCCTCACTAGTGTGTATGTGTGTGACTGATATGTACATCGAAATTTTTTTTAACCGAGGTCTCCTACGGGCTGGATCACTAATAAGAGTGGAATCTAAGCACAAAAGTATTAAAATGTTCCGTTTAAATATAGCAAGTGACAATTTTTACCTAAATCCCGACTAGTTAACCATGTTGAACTTTCTGTACACTAAAAGTTATGGAATAAGCCCCTTCACCCCTGCTAATTACAGAACAAGAAAACATTTCCTCGAACTAAAAGCTGTGGAAAAAATTAAAAACTAACTCTTAGCGAATTTCCGCCCATACATACCTTGCTTCACCATTAAAATGAGATTGAAGTGTCGACAAACNTTCCCCGTTCCCCGTTCCCCGTTCCCCGTTCCCCGTTCCCCGTTCCCCGTTCCCCGTTCCCCGTTCCCCGTTCCCCGTTCCTCATTCCCGTTACCCCTTCCCGTTACCCATTCCCATTACCCATTCCCATTACCCATTCCCGTTACCCATTCCGATTCCCCAATTCCCCGTTCCTCGTTTTAAAGATAGCCAATCCAAGCCGTAACATAACAGCTAGAATCTCCTGGCACGAATAGAGTTTCGGTGTGACATTTTATTGAAATCGCGGCGTAATGTATTAATTCATGACATCAGCTGGTGTTGAGTTTCTTTTAATGTAAGTAATGTTTGACTGAATTCTTTTTGCAGGAACATCAATTCTTAGATATCATTAAAACATTGATTCATCCTTTATTCGTATTTGTAAGAGTTTTCAACTGAAACACTACCCGAACTCTCACTTGATGTCTTTAAAAGTTCATTATCCAATCGGCGTCCTTTTAAAACTTGCCTGTGAGCGACAACTGCACTCAAGTCACGCCTCGATGCCGTTCTCCTTAAAAATTCAATCAAGCAAGTGAAACCTTAGTTTCACCTGTCAGTCACTTACACTGGGTAGAAACAAAGCACAAAGAACTTTTAACATTTCAGTGCGGGCAGACCGATCAGTCGAAAACTCACTCGGAATGCGTCTGTTTCGATTGAGATTTTATTAAATGGTAAAACAATTCGAACAAATAATCTCGCAGTAAACGAAGGCTTGATCGCAAAGTCTGACAAAACAGATTGTTTGAAAACAAAGGATTCAACAGGTTGAGCAGAAAATTTGAATTAAGTGCAGCCGATGAAGAGTGAACGTTAATCCAGTCCAATATCACTGTAAAAATAGAACGCCAGTACGAGATTCCTAATTTGAAAATATCTTACTTCCTTTCATTTCTCTTTGTCGTGTGGTATCAGTAGCACAATACATTTTCTTCGGGGGGTTTACAAAACAAAACCAGCAGGTTTTCTAATGGAGAAAACATCGAAACAATAACTAAAGACGTTAATTACCCGCTGAAAATAACAGATTGTATAACAAAGGCGACGATTTTTCACAATAACCAGAAACTGAAATTTCTGTGACTTTTTTGTGGTTAAATGGTGATTCAACGGCAGTTTCGAGCATAATTTCATTTCATTTTTACGCGTTGTTCGCGCGCAAATGATTTAAAGCTGCCACGCGCGCTCGTGTTTCGTTATGCAAATCGCGCGAGCTTTTGTTGTTAATGAAAAGTGACGTGTACAACTTTCACAAAACAGTATTGTGTCAGCTGACGAACACGCAATAATACAACCGTAGCGCCGCTTTTCTTTAACGTCAAGATTCAGAAAAACGACAGAGTCACAATTTTTTAATCTCGCGGCTGTTAGGGTAAACAGAAGTTGAAGCAATTCGAGGATGGGCTATGGACTTAACCGATTTGTCACACACGTGGATCAAAATTTACTCTGTAGTATTTGCGCCGGTGTCTTAGAAGAAGCCGTTATTACACCTTGTGGACACTCGTTCTGCGATGAATGCTTACATATCTGGCTGGACAGACCCAACACAACTTCGTGTCCCACTTGTCGTTCGGAGGTTTCGCCATTCGATGTTATTCCGGTGTTAGCCCTCAGAGGGGTAGTGGAGGGCTTGGTGGTTCACTGTGATAATGATGAACACGGATGTAAAATGGTTTTAAAACTGGAAAAACTCCGAGCGCATGTACAAGTGTGCGATTTCGGGTTGATTGAATGCGGTGCGTGTGGAAAAAGCGTGAAACGGTGCGAGCTACCAGACCACCATGAAGAATGCGAGGTAATAAAAGACTTGGTTTCACGACACAAGAAGGTAAAAGATCAAGAACTTTCTATTGATAACCTCACAAAACAGATCGCGCTGTTGGAAGTGGATTTAAATAAGACTAAAACAGCCTTAAAAGAATCCGAGGGGGACGTGCGTCGCGTGAAACGTGAATTGAGGGAATTACAATTCCAGTTGGAAGTAAGAATGGGCGAGGAACAGGAGTTCGACCCGGACTGGGATCCAGAGTACAACTACGGTTATTCTCCTTCAAGCATCGCGCAGCTCGCAAGTCTGGTGTCGCGATATTTATTGAACAAGCCTTACTACATTGATCGCAACCGCATTTTTAACGCGGTGAAACGTTGTTATGATTACTATCACGGTTATGCTGGCTATTCACAAGATGTACATATGTTACTGGCCGCGAGTTACGCTAGTAACTGGTTTACCGACAATCAAAGATCTAACTTTGATTCGTGGCTGCAAAATCTGGCGCGAGAAAGGTTTTTGATCTCCGGCTAGCCTGAATGTCAAAGTTCCAAATCATATTCGTCTCAACGATTTCAGGCGGTAAAATTTGCATTTTTCGTGACTAAAATTAAAACGAATTTCTATGTTCTAGTACGGTATTTTAGGCCAATGCATTGCTGTAATTGTACTAATATTTATTGTTAGAATTTGCGATCGCTTTAAATCCTACTCAAAGAAAATGATTAATCGTTGTCAAGCTTATATCGTTACAAATTATTCAACTAAACGATATAGCGCTGTGGTCATGGATTGTTAATAATACGAAATGAAGAGAAATTGTCCCTAAAAGCATGATGCTTTTCTGTCTCCACAATGCGAAAACAAAGGGAAATAAATGCGCGATATGTTTTGAATGAAAAGAGAATTTAATTGCAGTCCTTACAAATGAGGCAAAGGTGTTTTCCGCGTTGTCGGCCATGAAAGACTCGGCTTCTTGAAAAAACAAACAACTTTATACCCTGTGGCATCAGTCTCTTGGAAACACTCGCAAAGTACTAAAAAAACAAGAGGAAAAAAGGAAAAAAAGATAACAAATGTTTAGTCCTTTCTTCGTCATTTTTTAGCATGCCGAGAAAAATTTCCACGCAACGAGTTTTAAGAAAAAAAACTCACCCTGAATTTGTCATGGGTTTTTATACTCATAATCACAGAATTTCATCTTATCCCAAATAATTAATAATCTGAATTACAAAATACATTCGCAGCTGTAAACTTGTCAGGATTTCTAAAGATCGCGAGATAAAAAAATAATAATAATAATAATAAGCAAAAAAAAAAACGAAAAGAGAGTGATTAGGTAATTGTATTTAAAATACAATATGTGACAGCGCGCGTCGGTTTGATGTTCCGTCCGGTTTTCAGCGACATCGAAACCGGCTTTTAGGTCAAGCGAAATTGTTTTTAAGGTTCAAAACATTATCGAACAATAGCTTCTACAGAAACGGTCAGAAAAAACGCCGAATAACAACCTCATATTGAATATTAAAGCTCGCTGAAAAAATGTTAACTGGCTTGTGGCTACGTTAATCTCCTCGACTTCCCAACACATAATTTGGCTTTCGAACGCCAGGACAATGTGAAAAACAGTACAAAGATGTTACAGAGTGATTAAAAATTCTAATCGAGTATACTCGCGACAAAGCAGTCTTGGCAATGCTCAAACATTACAAAAATCTCTTTGTCTTGAACAATCTGGCGCTGAATTTACCGACATGTTAACAGTGTTTCATACCTCACAAAATCTTTTCTCAGGGAACCTCACCCAAAAAGGCTTGTGAAACTGTTCCTAGATTTGTTTGCTTGTCGCTCGGAAGTACAAAATCCTCTATGTCAGGTTTACAAAAGTAGCCGACAAAGAGGCGCTCTTAAAATGAACCGATATACCACCATTTTCAGTAATGAAAATCATAAAACGGAAATTAACTCATCAAATAAAGTCGTAAGACCTTATTACATGTTATTGTGACCAACGAATTTTGTAAATATTCCACTCACATGATCTCTTCCGTGAATGTACCGACAGCATTTGGTACCCAGGTTTTACAAGTGTTATAAGAACACGAGAATGCTACGAATTTCGCTCTTTTGGGAACAGTTTCACCAGTGTGTCATGTTGTTAAGACCAGACTAGAGGAAAACAAGTTGAGGAGAGATGTAATTGATTTTCAACCATCGGACGTTCTTGTAAAATTGGAATCTTCCTGAATTTTCATCTCAGTCAAAGATGCTTTTCAATCTTTTGAGAATTAGATGATTATATTACAAGGTAGATGACGTTTGACGCGCTCCCCCACCCCGCAAACATTGAATTATGTCATACAGCGGAGAACATCTGGAGATAAATATAGAGACAAAGTCAGCCAATCAAAGCTCAGCAAAAGCATGCGACCGGTCCAAAGCGCGGGAAAACGTACGTCACTCAAGTCAGGTTTGGTTTCAGGGTTTGTTCTTGATTGGTCGAAAAACGAGTAGGTCTGTTGTGATTGGTTGGTGTAAGCTGACAGACCTCAACAGAGGGTCCATTATACTTTAGCGGTTTAAGCCTATTCTGAGTGCCGGTTAGCGGGTACATTCACATTTATCTGGCCGTTAAAGGTTACAAGATTATCCCGCGTTCACATGAAATTATAAATTGAGCTCGCGGTTTTCGGTTTTGCGTGTTTTTGTGGCGGTCACAATGAACGGTCAGACTGAGCGGTAACTTAATGTCCATGTTGCTTGAAGCTTCTCCCTCAACAAAAGATTGCCTTTTAGGGCTAGAAACAGTTTGTTCCATTCTCAAGATCTTGTGGTCTTTGTGAGGAGAAACACGATTATTTTAAAGCTATCATATCGCAAAGAATTTGTAACGTACTGTGAAAAGATCGGTTATGATGATAATCTTCCTACTAGTAGCGCGGTTTCGGGTTTTTAGGATAAAAAGACAATGGTCTGTGGTTTCGAAAGAACAAAATATGGCGGTTTTATACGGAATGTACGACCCCATATAATAGACCCTCTCAACAAAGTCTCAATTTCTTTAATAACTGAGCGGTGTGGAGTGCAGTGTGCCCTCACTAGTGTGTATGTGTGTGACTGATATGTACATCGAAATTTTTTTTAACCGAGGTCTCCTACGGGCTGGATCACTAATAAGAGTGGAATCTAAGCACAAAAGTATTAAAATGTTCCGTTTAAATATAGCAAGTGACAATTTTTACCTAAATCCCGACTAGTTAACCATGTTGAACTTTCTGTACACTAAAAGTTATGGAATAAGCCCCTTCACCCCTGCTAATTACAGAACAAGAAAACATTTCCTCGAACTAAAAGCTGTGGAAAAAATTAAAAACTAACTCTTAGCGAATTTCCGCCCATACATACCTTGCTTCACCATTAAAATGAGATTGAAGTGTCGACAAACCATTAATATGTCTTTCAAATGCATATTTAACATTAACCTTGTATATAAAAATACCATTTATGTACAATGTGATCCACCCAAAAACCTGTAACTCGTGGCCCCCTATAGTCAGTCATTCAACTGAACATTAAATGTACTATTGGCTAAAAGATTATCTTCCTAACTGTGATAAAAAATGTAGACTACAGTTTATCCATCTCTCAAGAATTGTGTTCAAGGGAGATGAGTTTAAAAATGTTAGATTCTACAATCATTTGCTATGAAAATAAAGACCTCTCACAGATTTTCACTCTAAAGTGTCCTAAAAAATGGACAAAGTTAAAAAACTACTGAGTAAAGCTTATATTGACAAGGCTGAAATGCAATTGTGACTGGAAGAAAACGATAACCATAGCAATGCACTTCTCTCTCCCTGTCACAATATTGCTATTTGACTATTTTTTAGCAGATTTGTTCCCTAAAAGTTTCCTAAGTCTGTCATACCGACCAGATACTGGCTGAAGGTTCCCATATATGGGGTCCAGCCACATAACTCTATCCTCAAAACTCATCTTTTGCAGTACAGTGCTCTTGGTATAGAACCTTGAGAGCGCCTCCAAAGGCAGCTGTACCAGCGGCTTGGGAGGCGGTGATAGCTTGGGCTGTGTGGTGGAAACAGGATCTAGGGGTTCTTTAAGCCACCATCCAAGCGTAGTCTCAGGATAATCATCTTCAGCTTCTTCCTCTTCCTGCAACTCAACCTCTATCTCATCATCAGAGATCACTTCACCTTCTTCGATACTTTTTCTGGTAGTTCTCTTGATTATTTTCTTTGGCTCACCATTCTGGGTTGAGCCGTTTGGTTCTGTGTGTTGTTGTTGTGTGGAGATGGGAGGCATGGACTTACTCTCAGAGTGTTTCCTGTAGCGTTTGAGAAGTTCCAGTTCCTCTGAGCCATACTGAACCCCAGGGTGGGAGGGAGAGTAACCAGTGTTGTCCTCTTGAGCACCAACTTCTTCTTTGAAATCATACTTTGTTCTCTTGGCAGGTGCAAGCTTCAAAGGTGACTCTGTTGAACCCAACTCTAACAAGGCACTTGTTCCACCTACAAAACAAAGAGTTTGACGTTATGAATTCTCTTTAGGCAATAAGCATATCAAATAAAACATCCTCTCATAGAGCTGAAATGAAGGAGACATCACTAGTTTAACAATACAGTGGCAGATCCAGCCCTTAAGCTAAGGGCGGGGGGTGTTTTTGCCCTGCCAGCTTTTATTTCTTCTGCGATTTTTTTTTACCCAAAATAAGGGGGGCTGGGCCCTCCTAGATCCACCAATATTATCATTTACCATGCATCTGGCCCCTAAACTTATCTAAAATTAATTTTCTAACTTTTCTTTTTTTTTTAAATCTAAACTTAGGTTTTCTTTTTTCTTTTCCTTTTTGTTTTTTTCTCTATCTAGGCATTTCTAATAACAAAGTATTGTAGATTATTTTTAATTTTTGTTTTCAATACTATTTATTACACTGAATGCATAATTTAAATATTTGGAAATTATCTTTAGTTAATACTCTCTTAACATATTTCCATGAGTCAGAGTTGCCTAAAATTGGCTTGACTTGAACTGCCTTAAATGAGGCAAAAATTAAAATAATCAAGGTGTATTTTTTAGAGACATAAAAAGGTAAAGTCTGCATATGAGCCAAGTGGCCCATCAGGCCGTTTTCTGTAGCATGAAGCAATTAGGAGTATTTCTACTTCCCCCTGGATGGGATGCTAGTCCATTGCAGGGTTACCCCGAGCAGTAAATCTGACAGAACCCATTTATACACGTGGGTGGAGAGAGGCACTGTGAGAGTAAAGTGTCTTGCCCAAGAACACAACACAGTGTCCCCAGCCAGGGCTCAAATCCAGACCACTCAGTCTGGAGACAAGTGCACTAACAATGAGGCCACTGCACATCCACAAAGAGAACCCAGGAAAAAACCTTTGGAGTATGAGAACTTCTGGCAGCCACAGTCATAGTAATGCAACATGCAGAGTTGTTCAGTCCAAGTTACAGTTTTGACTGCACAGTTGCTTCCAAATTCCCAAAACAAAGGCCTTTTACCTTCTTCTTCCACTTCCATGTCCTGTTCATCCCTTTGCAGCTCTGTTCTCTTTCTTTTCTTGTTATTTTGACCAGAAGTATTTGGCATTCCCCTCTCATGTCTGTAGTGAGCTGCTAAATTGTCTATATGTTGATGGCTCTGCATTGGCGGCATTCCTATCGCAGCAGATATATCTTTAACACCTAAAGACGAGAAAAAACCACAAGCAAAACAATGTGTAGTTACACTGTCAAAAGGCTTAAGCATTCACCTTAAAAATGACCTACCTGTAAATGACCTTTGAAAGGCTTTAAAAAATCCAAGCTAGTTTTAATCCTAAAATTTGAAAGTCAAGCTGAATAATAATGTAATCCTTGGCAGGACTGCAGACTGCAGACAGACTTCAAATCAGGGGTAAAAAAATTATGCAGACTGAGGGTAAAATGCAGACTGCAGATTGCAGACTGTAGGCTTTTTAACTGAATCATGTTACCATTTCTATCATTGAGAGCTAACCCTAAACAGGCTATCCGGAGCACTATTCAGGCTATCCAGAGTAATATTCAGTCTAACCGAAGTGATATTCAGGCTAACCAGAGTGCAGACTTTCATTAAGATTAGGCTAAATAATCTTGTTTATGGTCAGCACTCGATAATGGAAATAACACAAGTATATACACCATAAGTCTACAGTCTGGACTCAAACTTAACACCAGCCCCACTCATTATTGCTTCGTCGAGTCTTTTGTTTCCCCTTTGCAGATCAGAGTATATCACAAAATAATATCAACCTTTTTCATGCACTTCAAGTTAATTCTCCGCAATAATTTTTAAACTGTTGACTCACCTTCTGGAAGGGGAATATTGAATCCTGGAAACTCAATAAAAGAATTGCGAATGTTATCACCATCCTCACTGTCCTCCTCTTCAATGTAATCATTTACGTTCCCATCCCCGTCATACAGAAGCAAACTTGGTTTTGCCTCCTTTGGTAAATATCCTGGGGGATACCCCAAGTATCGCATTTTATAAATGTAAAAAGGCACATCTTGTTCACCAATCCCAAGTGCTTCTCTCAGCTTTGCACTTATGATCCCCGGTTTAAATTCTGAAAAGCGTTGCACTGATTTGTCATCACAATGGTACCTAGATTTTGAATACGCTGGCGAGGCAAACTTATTTTGGAATTCTCTCCTGTTTGCATTAATTTTTTCAAGATCCTGTGGTGCAGGACAGTCTTGAAGAACATGGCCACACTCTCCACAGTTAAAACAAGCTCGGCTTTGTTTTATTTTCACCTTTAGTGTCTCTTCACCGTGCAAAACAGAGAAATAAACCTGCTCGTATTTGGGAATAACCCAGCCATCGCTGATTGTCGGGTTGAAATCAATTAAAGGCAGCCCACAGCAGTCAATGCAATATACATCGTAGTACTGCAAAGAACTGACAACAGAAAACGGTGCGAAATGACCCTCTTCCTCAGCTAACCTTTCCAGCTCATAATTCATGTCGAAGATGGACGGTGGAAAATGTTCTTTGCCATACGACTCCCTCTCGTTAACGTCGTCAACACGCCGCTGTAAAGTTTGAACAAACTCTTCAATCTTCTCCCTGTTTCTGATTGACGTCCTGTTATCGAAATAAATCGCTTGAAAAAGAGGCGAATACCTTTCTTGTTCAAAATCGGGATCTTGGGTCGTAGGTCCATGAGTCACTTTAAACATACTGACTAAACTTCTAAGCGCATTTTTCAGACGTAAGTTTTCTTCCTTCAAAGACTTTGATGATTTTCCCCCAGTAGAATCATCGTCCTTTTTCATGGTCTTTTTCTTCGCTTTTTCCACCTCAAATTCAGTGAAAAGAAGCTCTTCATCGAAGCAATCCTCGTCCGCCATGATGGAAGTATACTAGTTTCCAATCTTTACCTGCCTCGCCCGTCCGTTTCCGTCATACACAGGTTGAGGCACAGGCTTCCCAAGCGGAATACATGAACAAGGGTATGGGACTGAAACTGAAATCAATGAATGCACGAGTAATTCACCGTATTACGATTTCTAGTCATTGTTTGGTGTCATTTCTTGTCATCCTGGGGTATTAACACAAGACTTGAACGAATTTAGGTTAATTTCACTTTATTTATTGCCAGTTTTCATGTGCCATCATCATTTTCCAAAATAAGAAAGTACCAATCCATCTGAAGTTTTAGTTTCATCAGATGTAAGACCCTCTGATAACTTGATGTTTCACAATGTTTAAGCTCAACAGGGTTCCTTATTATGTAATAGAGCACGTTTGAATTCCAAGTTTATGCGTTGCGTGACATTAAAATGGCGCCAAGCCCAATAAGGCTGTTGACTAGGTCAAAAGATGAGTTTCTGCTCAAGTTTTTGCTAATTAAACAGCTCTTGCTCTAGAAGAAGTATTAATTTCAATGTGTCGGAGCTCTAGAGTAGTAACTTCTCGTTTTAAAGGTAAAGCTCAATGCCAGATGTTTCAGTTACTTTACGACCATACAAAGCTCTATAAATTTGAGTGAAACACTTTTCTGAATTACGCACCAATGAAAAACCGCACAGACTTAAATCTTGGCAAGGTTGTTTACATATCAATCATCTTTCACATCCCAGCTTCTTGACTTAATTTATTGAATGGTTATGCTTTCTCTTTTCTTTTCATGGCGTGACACTGCAAACCAGCCATTGGTGTGAATATTCAAGTTAGTTTTTAGTAGTGTTAAAATTAAATGTGCAAGACTTCTTCTTTGTCACTCATAAGAACATCATGCGATAAATTACCAAAATTCCCTCAAATCCCGTTTAAAGACCACAGGATGGCAAGAAATGACACCTAATCAATGATTATAAATCTTTCTTCAGAGAATTCAATCAAACACAGTCCCTAACTTCTAAACAAATGCTTATATTACGCTTGGGTTACTTGAGGTTAAGGTGAACTACGGGAACTGGAACAGCTACGTTTCTGGTATAATTTATGACAGATATATTTTTCTTGTGTCATTGACAGGGGCATTCCTGATCAATTGCCCTTTTTAACAATATTGGAGCAATGGCTAAAAAATAACACATCTGCCACCCAACACCCTTTTCAATGCTACCTCCTACCCAACTCCCTTTTCAATGTTACTCCCCCCCCTTCCCATACACACACACACACACATACACACATACATCTCCCTTTTCACTGTTTTACAGTAATGAAGCAAGTCTTTGGGGGGAGGGAGAACGATCCAAGTCACTCAAAAATAGTAACCTTTTGACCATCACTTTTATAATAATAAATTGATACAAAAAAATTAGTGCAACAACCAACACAATGTGACAACATGCAATATACTGACATACCCAGTGGCCTGATCAATTCATGCTGTTATCAACTGCCAGCATAATGGTTTATGGATAGTATGGCTTCCATGTTTGTACCAAACGTATTTTACTATCTATTTTACCATCAAAATATCGGTCTTTCATTGCAATTTCTGTAAAATGGTTTGTTAAGGTGAAATATTACAAGCAGCGCGACGACAAGAATGACACTTTACACATACAAATCTCTAGCAAGCTTATTTTAAAACAAACATTACCCCCAAAAAATTATTAACATCACAGACATACCAGGCTAATGTGTATCTCTCTCTCCTCTACAAGGGCTTAAAGGTTTTTTTCTTATGTGGGAAGAATCTGCTCAAAGATTTCACATTGCACAGCAGATGTCTACAACGAACAACCCAACTTCAAGGAGAGAGAATGTACTGTACATTATTTAGATGATTATGCAGGATTACAGTATTAAAATCAAACGAAACCTTAAAAAATTCCCACTTTAAAATGTTAGAGTTCTTATAATCGCAGTAGCACAAGACATGAGGTGGTTCTGAATTTGTAAGATGAGCACAATGATTTTCCTTCATAAATTAAAAGAATGAACAAAGCAGTTTAAAATACTACCATTTTCACGTCTTACATTATTCAGTTTATCAGTGAATCAGTGATTACATTTTATACAAGAGATCTATGCACAACTATGCACAGTTCAAGAATTCAATTTAGTTTGGACAACAAAACTCCTGCATTTTGTTAATGTTCTTGTTTATTTATTGAAATAAAAAAGTGGTTGGCAGGCAGTCATCTCCAATGGAATCTGTGTCATGTGCCATCTAAATAGGGTTCATCGTCATTGTTATGAGACCAAGTATCACCATCATCATCGCCAAGGTTACCATCCAAAGCATCACTCCCATCATTGCCCGCATCAATTGAAAGAGGACAAACTTTGGCTATGCTACCTGATGACATGAAACACAATGATCATGGCCTGTTGGTATCACCATAAAATAAAAGTCATTCTTATCAAATATTTATCAGGAAAACCCAGAGTTCTTGCACTCAAAGATAAAATCATCCTGTACTCAAAACTGGGCACGGAGAGCGGGAAAATCAGGCCTAAATATGAGGTATCTATCACAAAACTGTCAGCTCAAGCTGTTCAACTAACCTTGAGCATAACACCATTGAGTCTGGAGCACTCACCAGCTTTTACTGCACATTGAGCACTCTCAGCCTACCAGTACATGTATGTGTATGTTTTGCAAACATTTTTTTATTATTCTGTGTATAAAAAGCCCCAACAAAAATCAAAAAGGTTTGGGCCAGTTGTCCACCAAAAACGACATTATTATTTTACAAGCAGAAACAGGAAAATAACTTGCTTTTGAAGCCTTTTGCCTGGCCAGTAAGAACTGAGCAACCTCAAGTTACAGTGTCATAAAATCCTGTGCTGCTGCTGATGCGTGTGCTACATGTCACGTAACAACTGGAGACAACACCACATTGGAAGCTATTTTTTTGGTTTCAAAAGCACAAAATCACTAGATCTACTAGTTGCCCAAGGCAATAACAATGCCCGAGGTGAAGCTGAGGGGAACATTGAGGTCGAGAGAAAACAAATCTCACTGTTTCCCATGGGACCAGTCACTAAGTGTTTTGTCATACCTTCCAACTCAAAAATAGAAAACAAAACTGCAAAAAAAACTCATTTGCTTGGGGCTGGCTGGCTCACAAATTTACCGTGGTTTCAAAGAGCATGGCCTAATCATGTGCAAGTCAAAAATTCACGTTGAGTTCAAGGGAGTTAGTGAGTTCTGACCCACGACATGTGACATGTTCTCCTCCAATCAGAAAACTTATTTGAGTTGGGAGGTATAACAAAGAGTCTTGAATCAGTTTCTTCATTTTACCAATAGACATAACATTTGTACGCACTTACAGACAAAGGACACTGGTGCAAATCTTTTGCTGAAATTCATGCTGGTAGACATTCCAACAGTTCTTGTTCCTTTCAGCCTAAGAAAGGGAAGAATGTACAAGCAACTGAATAATCAAGCCAAATAAAGCCACGTGCAACTATCATATTGTGCTAGTTAATTTTAAACATTAAAATCATGCCACATGGGCCTGGAATATCTTTTTATCCAAAGTAGTAGTGCATACTATACTTACAATCCGTTATCAATACTAAGAAATGACTTCAGTAATGGCGATGATCCGCTTCTACTGGAACCTGTAAGGAAAAGATCAACTTAATAACACAGCGTGTTAAGTCAAGATCAACTACAGGATGAATCAAATAATATGTCAGCTTATCATCTCTGTGCCATGTGTTGGGTTACTTACTCTGTGAGACATTCTTAGCGAGGGAAGACGACAAATGCTGCAAGAAAAAATGAAACAGTTTTAATACTAGCAAATAAAGGGTTCAATGAGGTTTGAAGACCGTTTACCTTCAAAGCAGTCGAACGCGAAAGAGACCGAAGGCAACGTGCTGCAGCCGCCATTTTGAAATTACCGCTGTTCAAACATTGCCTTCTCGTGTCTGCGCGCGGTGCTTGACGGGAAATAAACAAGATGGCGGCGTTGTCTGTACGTTGTGTTCGCTCAGTAGCGCGAGCTTCGATTCAAATCTCGGTAAGTTATCTTGATAAGCAAGCTGAAACGGACGCACACAACTTCTAACGTAGCAAATTTATTTCTTATTTTCACAGAAAACGGCTTTGTCTACGAATGGCGTATCACAAAGTGAGTGGCTTATTCTACAACTTGGTCTGTGTACTGTAAAGAGGAATTAGGCTTATGTAAGCTTATGTAACATAAACATAGGCGTAAGCGTAAATGTCTTAATTGTTTATATTTCTAATTGTTTTTTCAGCAAGAAGTATATCTTCTGCAGTGGGAAAGTCTATTCTTAGAGACTGTGGATTGTAAGTACTGAACCTTCTGCAAAATTGAAATATGCCTGGCAGAAAATCCCTGATAATCAGAAATTTTCACGGATCTCAGACCAGTAGTCTTATTCAGACCTCTTCAGAGTATTCTATGCTTATTTGGAAATGCCAAGTGATTCAAAGAATCATTTTGATATTTCCAGAGCTTTAAGCATACTGACTCACAATTCAAATATTTTTTTCAGAATTTTCAACAAAAAGGCTTATTCAAGCCTGCTAAGAATGTTGTATGTTTATCAAGAAATGCCAAGTGATTCCAAAAACTATTTTGGTTTTGCAGTGGACAAATGTTTCTGTGATTGGGGATACTGAAAAAGTGCATGTTAATTTTGGTCAGACTCCAAGGTACTATCAAATTTTTAACCACTCATTGACATGACAAATTTGCATAAAGTAATCATGGTGGTGACAAGGTGATTTAAATTAAAAACTAGTCACTGTTTTAGAAGCACTTAAGCCTTGTTCACACTTGGGACATAACAGTGAGGTCACACAAAGGCAAAAAAGTACCCTTTGTTGATGTTCTATATCACCAGTTGCAGGGTTCGACATCTGATCAGCTGTATAAGTAGCCACCAGGCTAGTCATTTCTGAAATTTACTAGCCCGAAACACAACTTTGTAGCCCAGGTCAGTTTCCCTCTCAGGCTCTATTTTCACATTCCTTACTTTGCCCCTTACAACATACAATCATGAAAAGAAAGACTGATCTAGCATGGGCCTCATTGGTTTCTAGCTTAAAGTTTGTGTTTCCGCGAAACATGAACCTGAATGATCATACCTTCTGCAAATGTTGCAGAACATCTTACCCTCGTTGTTCATAACATGATACTGGAGCCACACAAAACTTTCTTTCCACAATAGATTAAATGCTCTTTTCCTTTTATTGCTCTCATTTTTCCTGCTTTTTTTTCTCTTCGGTTTCACTGGTCTTCGCCTTTTTGCGTGGCAGCACTGCTTTATTGCTCCATCTTTGCTACCATCGCTCCAAGTGCGAGGCGATGTGCATGGCATTGCAAGATGGGTACGGAGAGAACTGGGGAGTACATTTTCCAGTAAGCATAGGGTCTGGGTTCCAGTGATATTTTACGACAAGATAGATGCCACAGAGTGGTACTTTTGTACGTTCTTCATTAATATCATCCCTGCAATTAAAAGTCTTTTGTTTTCTTTAACAGTTATGAACTTAAAACGCACAAAATAAATATTAATTCTTTCAATTTTTCTACTAGCCCTTGGGCTATTAAACATGATGTTTTACTAGCCCAACCTCATTTCCACTAACCTCGGGCTATTGGGCTGGTGGAGATGTCGAACCCTGCAATGTGAACAACACAACATAACAACATGAAAGGGACTTAATGACATATTAAGCATAATAACATAAGGAAAGATTAATCTTTTCCTTATGCTGTTATGTCAGTGTCATTATGTGAAGTGTGAACTAGGCTTAACTGAGATAACTTGTTTTAGTCTAGATTCTCTTCAATTTTATCAATGTGATTTCTTGTCTTCAAGGCTCAAGACAATAGCAAGAGATAACATAACAAGAAATCTTGCCAGAAGACACACTAGATTATCAGCAGCAGTGAGTAAGTGCACGCCTTGTAAATCAGATATTCTTAATGTCCACTCATTCTTGAGCTGTAAGGTTGACAAATGCTCAAGTATTTGTCAGGAAGGCAACCTGACAGTTTTTTCACATGCATTACTGTACATGGTTATTTCTAAGTTAATGTTTCCCATTACTGGTAGTGACTATGACAATAGAAGCTGTCAAAACATAATAGTGATAATAATAATCAACTTTATTTATTGAGGGTAGCACACAACAGTAATCACTGAAAAACCTGTGGCCCTTCCATAAAACTTTTAAGTGTTGTATTTTTTTCTAAAAACTGCCACTTGCCCTCTTTTATCTAGACCCTCTGGAAGTTATGACTTATCAGTGACATACTTGGGTTGCTAAAGTGTAATGGTGTCCCAGTATCCAGGGTACCATTTCACTATCAGCTGCCCATAGTTCACCACCAAAATGAGGATTGTAAGGAATGTTCCGCTCCTTTTTTTTTATTTTCAACTCTTTTCTCTGTGTTTGAAAATATTTGTCTGTGGATCATTTTTGATATGACTGCTTATTTTGGCTACCAAAGTAGCCTGCAAGCTTTGCGCTTCAGGTGCCCCCCTCTCCCTCCCCTTTGAATGCGAGCCATGCAGGCCACTACCAAAGAGGTAGCATTAATTGTAGCGTTTGCCTTTATTTAGATCAAATCTTGTTTACTTCTGTTGTGGATATAATATGTGAAGAGGAAGAAGGAAATGGGGACGATGAACTTACCACAGAGCTTGTAACTGAAGAAGATGAAATATTGACAGTCTGTCAAACTCTTCGGATCTTGTGGAAAATTTGCTCAAAACTTTGTGAAGCTGAGGGCAATCTTGGGTTTTAATTTTGATCCCAAGATATTTAGCATTGAAAAGGTTTTGTCGTCACTCCACAATGCCTCCCTTCCATCAAGTGGTGATAAATTTTGGCATAATTTCGAATTAGGCTGTGTTACAGCCACCCTCTCTGAAAGAAAACTCAGAGCCGGCTGTAACACAGGCCTATTTTGAATAAGTGCTATTATTGGAAGTCGAGTTAAGCAATTTTATTTTTTGATCCCCATAGGTTTGGTGATCTTAAACCCGTCAGTGACGGTGGAAAACTGTGAATCAGATGACGATAGTTTGGAGGCAGTTTGTGGAGATGATGACGATACATTTTCGTGCTGCGAAGATGCAATACCTGGTCTCTGAAATTTATAACTTGCAAAAAGAACTGTAAATGGTTGTAATAGGGTCTGTAATGGTTTTAGTGCTCTGAAATGTTGGTCACTGTTTCTTTTTATTAATAAACACATTGTCCTATTCATATTTTTTTCCCAAGTCTCATATTTTGTCTTATTTATATTTTGTGTCTGAATTGTTTTTGTTGGGAAACGCGATCAAACACAGTCTTTCGTGTTTGATACATTACTTCATGAATATGTTTTATTGTTGGAGTCGATCTTTTCATTACAATCTCAGGAGAG